CTTCCCGAGGGAGCAAATGAAAACAACGAAACGCTTGAAAGTGCCGTCAACACAGGCATTCTTAAAGATATCATGAAACTTGAACCTGTCGGTATCGAGCGTATTCATCGTATAGGTAGACCTGAAACTGGCAAAGTTAGGCCAGTCATATTCAAATTGCTTGATGGGCGAGACAAAGCTAGAATACTTAAAAACGAGTACAAACTTAAAACTACCACGCTAGCTATCGGGGAAGACTTTTCTCCGAAGATACGAGATATTAGAAGAAAGCTTTGGGCAAGTGCAAAAGCTAACCGAGATAACAATGAGAAAGTAAGCTTAGCATTTGATAAACTGTATATCGCTGACCAGGCGTATGTCTGGGACAGTGATAAACGCGAAAGAATTCCGGTAAAAAAAAAACGACGGAAGCAAAACCCGCCCGATGACCAGACGGTATGCCCAATCACAGAGTCACACGTAGGAAAACAACTCGCATTTTCTTCAAAAAATAATTCAACGAAAAGTAAATTTTTCGTTACCGGTCAGCAGGGCGTTAAACAAAAATGCCTTCGCTTGGTTAACATAAATGCCCGAAGCGTCAATAACAAAACTGAACTAATGAAAATTGCCTTACTTCAACACGATCCACATGTAACAGTTGTGTCTGAGACATGGTTGCTCCCCGAAATAGCTGATGATGATGTATTTCCGCCCTCGTATAAGGTGTTTAGGAAAGACAGAACTACAAGGGGAGGTGGAATAGCCATACTTGTGAAAGAAACACTGCAGGCGTCGTTAATTGGTTACATTGATGACTTAGAATGTGTATGCATTAAGCTGTCTTGTTGGAGCCACATTTTCATCTTGTATGCACTTTACAGACCCCCAGAGGCTGCGTTTGAATCCATGAAAAAGTTAGCTGAACATATGTCTCAATTTTGCAACAACAAAATTTTGTTAGCAGGTGATTTTAACCTACCTTCTGTTGACTGGGAACGTTATACGACAGAACCATTGTACAAAAAAGAGACTGAGATTGTGTTGAACATCATGCTAACCCACAACTTGATGCAAGTTGTGAGGGAGTCAACTCGTGTGCATGGATCCTCTAGTTCGATTTTGGATTTAGTATTTATAAGCCGTGAACTCGAGCTGCACTCTGTTTCAGTAGAACAGGGCCTGTCCTACCATAAATTGGTTACAGTCTCTGTTCCTCTTAACAATTTTCCAAGTACTAAAAAATCTTCAGTGCGTACCTTTAAAGATTACTCGCGAGCAGATGACGTATCTATAATAGAATACATGGAGTCGTGTTTTGCTGTCTTTGAGGTGGGCGATGTCGAGACAATGTGGAATCAATTTAAAGAAATGTGTCATCATTGCATCAATCGTTTTATACCGAATAAACATAAAAAAGTGCACAAAACAACTCCATGGATAACGCGAGATATAATTCACTTAAAACGAAAGATAAAACGCTTAAGGCAGAAGCATGCGCAGTCTCGTTCCCTCTCAGTCCTCAAAGACAGCCTTGCACGGGCTATACGCTCATCCAGAGATCGCTATTTTAAGACGCTACTGCCCAACTTCATAAAAACTGACCCGACTAAATTCTGGAACTACATTGGTGACAGAAAGAAACCTCTCACCGAAATGGCAATTGATAGCGTGATTGTAACCGATCAAAGAAAGATTGCTGATCATCTTAATGCGTATTTTCAAAGTGTGTTTTCCGGCTCTAGTGTTTATGTTCCAAACGGTAGAGTGTTCGACCCATGCGAAGTCTCTTTCGTGTCTTATTCTGGTGTTTTTTCGATGCTTCTGAATCTTAATTCTAAAAATCCTGTGGACCTGATAATCTCCCAAATATGTTCCTAAGAAGATATGCCGAACATGTCGTTAAATTCCTGCATGAAATCTTCCGTGTTTCATTGTTGTCATCAAAGCTACCACGTGACTGGAAAGCCGCACGCATAAGTCCTGTATTTAAGAAAGGTGATCGCTTGTCGCCTCAAAATTACCGACCCATATCCTTGACCTCACCCTGCTGAAAATTAATAGAACACATAATTGCTACACAAATTGGAAATTTTTTGACTCGACATTCAATCCTGACCAATTTTCAACACGGCTTTAGAAAGGGATATTCGACAGTGACGCAACTAGTTGCAATAATCCACTCATTTGCACTTAACCTGGATAACAATAGGCAAACTGACATAATATTTTTGGATTTCAGTAAGGCATTCGACAGGCTTCCACACGACAAATTGATCTTGAAACTTAAACGTATTGGCCTTCCCGAAATCCTTGTAAACTGGATTGCTGACTATCTATATAACCGTGAACAGTTTGTTGCTATTAATGACCAGCGTTCGCAGTCTCTACAGGTCACATCAGGTGTACCCCAAGGAAGCGTCCTAGGGCCATTGCTTTTTCTTCTATACATAAATGATATTGTAAATGTCATCACCCCTTCTGTACAAATTAGATTATTTGCAGACGATTGTGTTTTGTTCCGGGTTATTAACTCTTTAGATGATCAAAATGAACTTAACTCAAACCTTCATAATATTCATCTGTGGTGCAATGAGTGGGGAATGATCCTTAATGCAGAAAAGAGTGTCTGCATGCGTTTGACACGTAAGAAAGTTCCACTAAATACTACGTACCAGCTTGGGTCTTCAACTCTTAGAGAGGTTACAAGCTACAAATATTTGGCCCTAACTATAACTAGTAATTTGTCCTGGAACATGCATGTAGACAACATATGTTCAGCTGCCTTTCGGAAACTTGGTTTTCTAAGACATAAACTGCGTACCTGTCCTGCCAATGTAAAGCTTCTTAGTTATTATTCTTTTATACGACCTAAACTGGAATACGCCAGCATTGTATGGGACCCTTACACTAAGCTTAATATTAACAAACTTGAGTGGGTTCAAAGGAAAGCTGTTCGGTTTATATATTCAAAATACTTACCGTCGGATTCACCTTCCGCGCTGATGTCTGCAAACGACATTCAGACCCTTGAATCCCGCAGACGCGAACAACGGCTGGATTTCCTTCAATTATTACTTAATCAAAAACTCGCAATCGATTCATCGCCTTACTTATCTTTTCTGTCAACAAGGAACACACGACATCATCATCCCAATTTGCTAACCCCATTTTTTGCGAGAACCGATGCCTTTATGTATTCTTTTTTTCCGCGAACAGTGTCGGACTGGAACAAGTTATGCGAACCTCATTCATTGTAACGTATGTGTAACGTATTGTAAAGTATGAGGTATGCAATGTATTGTCGTTGTTTGGCGTAAGTTACTACTTGTGTTGTGGAACATAGTGTAATGTAGTGTTGTAGAACCGGGTGTATTGTTGCTTTGCATATTGAAGTTTATTGTAGTGTATAGAGCGAAGCGTGATGTTGTTACATAACGAAGTGTATTGTAGCGTGTAAAACAAAGTGTGTTTTTCGTATGATGTACGTCATTACGCCTGTGGTATACGTGACGTGCCCTTCCTGCTTGGACCACTTAGTGTCCGCAGTATGTATCAAATAAATAAATAAATAACATGTACATCCCCCCTCCCAGATCACACAACGATTGTTTTAAGTTCAGTTTCTTTCCGCGGGCGATCAGCGAGTGGAACAGGCTGCCGAATTCCACTGTCTTATCGGAATGTGTACCTTCTTTCTTGAAGGGCCTAAAGGATGTCGTGTATAAAGATCTATAGTTTATATTTTGCCTATTCTATGTCCTCAGTGCTTGGCTATTTGCTTTGGCTATTTCTTGTCATTCATTGTTATGTATATTAGAAGTTGTATAGGGAGTACCTATTTTTTGTATGTATATTGGTTTTTTTTCCACCCCTGTTATAGCCCAAATTGGGCTGACAGTATAATAAAATGAAATGAATGAATGAGCTGCTTTTCTTCAAAAAACTTGCGGGCACAAGGTGCAGACATTGACGGAAGTAGATATAGCCCCGGCAACGTGGACTATACCGCTCGAAGTTGATGTGCCGGCACTCTTGCCAAACCTTTACAACGAAGGCAGCTTCTTCGTCCCTTTTCGCCCTCTGAGCTTGGTAAGCGCCCGTGCTAACGCGCTGTGCGTCCCTCGGGGTTGCTCCAATCAGGCGATCTCTTCCGTATTGTGTTTCAGTTTTGTTCTTTTTTTAATACATTTTTTTTTCTGATAGCCGAATAGCGAGAGCCGCGACGCGCCACAGCATAGGTCACTGGCGCCCAACTGAGACGAGAAAATTACTAACGGACACTGCGAAAATAGCGAGAGCCAAAAGGACAACAAGCTGGACGTAACTTAAGCAACTACTGTCGGCACAAGACCTGCAAACAGTAAAATAAAAGCTTCCGGCAGAATATGCCACGCTAATATACATAAGTGCATTATTGCAATCAGATACAGCCCCGTTGTCACACGCCTGCTAAGCAAAATGGCTTGTTTATCTACACGGAACACGCCAACTGAACTTTGGTCGTGTCGCCTGAAAACGCAACTGAAACGAAGAGGATGGGATTCACAGTTTTGTTGATCACAAACCCGGGACATCGAGGAATTTTCGTCAACTATAACGCAATGCATACTGTAACACGACACGTGACAGCAGCTATCAAGCCCACACCGCTAAACCCCTGGTAACCAACTTTACGGTCAGGGGCACGCGACACCGTTGCACAAAATTCACAAGCACGCCAAAGCCGCCCCGCCCCCTCTTAAAAAAAAAAAAAGCCGCTTTCGAGTAAGCCTCTATGCGACTTCAAAGCAGCCGATAGTTATAGCGCGAGAACAAAACGACGACACAGAGACAAAAAGGACACAAAAGGAAAAAGGTCGTCGTTTTGTTCTCGCGCTATAACTATCGTCATGCCATACCAACTAGCTCAAGCTGCCACACTTCAAAGCAGCGTAAACATTCAAGGCATCAGAATTTTGTCGGCAGTCGAAGAGGCCGAGGGAGGGGAAAATTGACGAGAGCCGTAAGATAGGACTTACCTGATACCTAGCGAAATACACAAAACTTGTTCGCTGGTCAGCTTGGCGGGAAAGCTCCGACACAATGGTGACTCGAAGCAGTGAAGTTAACGACACCTTGTGCAAACTTCTGGTGGCATATTGTCCGACTTGACGCAACCACAGGTTACCTGATCAGAATAGGACAACTAATACACGTCTTGGTGTCGCAAATCGCCGTTGAACATGGTCGTTTCTAACGAGTCCTCGATGCGACGTTCCGCGGTGACAAGCGTTTATGTTGCCTGGCGAGCGCCGCGTCATGAAGGCACCGCGTACAGACATCACGTGACCACGTCGGAGAGATGTTATCGCGAGCCGGCGCACGGCTGTCTGGTGTCGCGAAGAGGCCCACGCTCGGAGGAGTTTCTTGTTGAAACACTATTAAAACCATGCTTTGTGGTTGCGGTATAAGCTCGCTGTATTCGCTACAACTCTACTGCAGTACAATATCCTGTGTACTTGAGAATAAGACAGTTCGCAGAAATGGTGAGCCTGTCGTAGTTAACTTTCACATGCAAAAACAATATAAGTGCACCATGAAATTATACGTACGCGCTGTTAGACTGACGAGATAAACTCAGGCATTCAGTTGTGCAAAGCACGTATACGCAATTTTTTGCCTGCAATTCCGACCACTTTTTTTTATTGTGAAGCGAATAAAACAAACAAAAACTTCCTTACCGAGAATAAAAAAAAAAGATTGCGCACCAGCTCTGGTATTGCAACGCACTTGGTTTTTTTATTTGTTGTTGTACATGACAACCATGAAATGCTTGCTTGATGATAGGACATATAAATTTTCATATCAGAGGGATCACATTAATTCAAAAATTCCTGCAAGCTCATAACAACGTGTGGAACTCACCATTACATCGATACTGGTTTCAACGACAAATCAGTGATGATAATGAGATGAAACCACCAATGTTTATTTGCTCTCTTTGGCAAAACAACCCGCTTACGAGAATGCCTATGCCGCATTATCAATTATATCAAACAGGTGTGATTGCTGTGTGTTCGTTCGAAAAAAAAAGGGGGGGGGGGGTTGATGCGCGTGGCGTGTAATCCTCGAACAGAAAGAAGAAAATGATAAATGTTTGCGTCTCAACACCCCTCTATGATTATGAGGAACACCGTGTGGTAGTGGTCTCTAGACATTTCACTATCTGCCATTTAAAGAGATAATGAATAAAAATTACGAAAAATTGACAAAAACACGATAGTTCTGTTAGGATGGCGCGCATGTTCCGTTAAACAATGTCCACATATTTTTGAGTAATTTGGTTGTATTTTTGGTAGATTGTCATCACGCGGCGGCAGCACGTGACCCTAGCCGTCACATTCTCCGAGGCGCACGCAGAGTGCAGGTATTCAGTCCCTTCTCTTCCCTTTTTCCACCTCTCCTTTCATCCTACTCTTTCCTTACACAAAAGCGCTGATGCTTTAGCTCCAAGCTGGGAGCATTACTCGCTGCCAGTGCCATTTGTAGTGGGATCATTCCACGCCAAACATACCAGCTATTTTAGCGAACACCTCTAATCGATTCGAAGAAATATCCTGTTGATTTACTGTATTGAAAGCAGTGAATCACTAGAATATTTCAGGAAAAAATATTGCGGTCACGTGAGTGCTTTCCGAATTTATTCAAATGCTGTATGGCAGTTGTTTGTGAAAAAAAAATTTTTTTTACAGTGTCACTTCCTCTTTCAATACCAAATTTAGTTTATATAATAAGTAATGCTGACTGTGCAAGGTGCTTTAAGCTAGTCATTATTAGTGCAATTTTCGGCCACATACACTACAAGAATTTAGCCGAAAGGGGTTATGTTTGCAGTTTTTATATTGCATTACTGCTCTTTTAATGAATATCTGAGCAATTAATAATTACTTCATAGAAGGTATATTTGGCAAAAAAATTACCTTTGCGCCCCTTAAGTCAGGAAATTTTAGGAGAAAAAAAATCCCGAATTTCCCAAAATCATCAACTTTTCCACATTAAGGCCAATTTGCACCACGTAGTGGTCTAATTAAATATAACATTTATATCCAACTGGAAAGCAATTAAGCAGTTATTTTGATATCCAAAGGTTTATCATTACAATTTTTGCTTCATGGAAGAAAATAATTTTTAAGTTTTCAATTGGCAGCTATCTTTCCTTTTGGTTATATGGCAGCTTCCCTCTTGTTCTCCGTGGCCCCGGCATTCCTCAAGACAGACAGGACGTTTCCTCTCTGCCTGAGTATAAATCGATGACATGCCTCACACGCGGGTGATGTTATCGCATCGCATGCGCCCTTCGTGGGACTGAGATGGGTCGGCTTGCTTCCCCTTTGCTTCAGCCGGGTTCGTAGTGCTCGCTCGCGTTCATTTACCCGCGGCTAGAACACACGATTTCCGGGCGGGGAGGGGGGGGGGGCTGTTATTGATTTGGACTTTATATGGTGCGTGACGGCGATGCTGATATCGGAAACACGTCAAGAGTATATTCATATCACAGTAAAACAATTAAAGAGGAACTATGAAAAAACGAATGTTAGTTACACGCACCCAGGCTCTCTGTCAACACGTCGTGCCCCCGAAAAAGGTGGCCTGGTAGTGGCATTTCGGCTAGAAATTAACTAATCAGAGCAGCCAACTTCTAGACTTTTCCGTAAGGTCCACTGAAGAAGGACATTGTCTCCGTACTTACAATAACGGCACTGCGTCTGTTGGCATCCATTGCTATTTTTTCCTTCTTTCTAGGAACTGAGAGACCTTCTTCAGCTTTACGTCAATCTTTGCTGTGCCTCTAACGGACAGTTTTTACAGTGTAGCAGTAATATAACAAGAAACTTTCGGGTTTAAAGATGCTCCTTCGATACCTCAATTTTCCTGATTTCTTATTCGCTCACCAACCGAGCTCTAAAATCTGCACGTTTCCCCAGGGATGACTGCTTCACCGTCGTTTGTTAATACCTGCATTCGGACCGTGCGTTGCAGCTTTAACATTTCGTTTTGTTTTGAATGCAGTACGAGCACACCCATTCAGCAAGCTTTTCGCGGACGTGTCAGCAATTAAACGCAAGACTATTAAGCGCGACGTATGCAAGCGCATGTCACGGGATCGAATCCCGGCCGCGGCGGCTGCATTTTCGGCGGAGACGCAAATACTGAGGTGGGTGTATACTAGATTTAGGTGCACCCCAGGTAGTCGAATTTCCGGAGCACTCCTCTATGGTGTCTCTCATAATCATATGGTGGTTTTGGGACGTTAAACCTCTGCTATTGCTAATATCAAAGCATAGAAGTGCATAAAAGGCAATGCGTGAGGTGACAGCCCATGCTCAGGTGGCACCACCTAGCAGCTATCGGTACCAACTGCTTCAGGCGCGGGCACGGCTTCTCTTTGAACACACTACCCCATATTCTAGTATACTATACCAAAACGTCCAACCCGAGAGAAACGAACGCTAACCGGAAGTGCGTCGCAGGGGGGGGGGGGGAGCAGCTCGAGAAATACGAGCGCGCTCTGACTGGCTGTGGCAGCCCGCGGGTACGCGGGTAGCCCAGAAGTCGAAAATCGAAGAGCCCCACTGCATCGATGGCAGCTTGGAGTCCCTCGGGGACTTGACGACCACGAATGGTGGGGCCACCGGAGAAAAGCGCGACGTCGTCAGCGTAAACAGCAGCACGCACCTCGTAGGCAGTGCCTCGCAGGATGTGGTCGATGAGGCGTGCGAGAGCTACGTTTAAGAGAAAAGGGCTCAACACACTGCCCTGCGGCACACCCGCTGACACCACCCGAGGACCGCCGAGTTTACCGGCGACGCGCACACGAAAGACCAGCCACTGAGGAAAGCCTCGACGTATCGCAGCTTGTTCCCGCGCACACGCATCTCCCGAAGGGCGTCGAGGATGGTGTTGTGTGGGAGCGAGTCAAAAGCACTCTTGACGTCGAAAAGTACAAGGTATCCCTCCTCCCTGCGGTGCTTGGCTTCCTCAAGAAGGCTCACGACGTCCGAGATTGAGTCCGCTGTCACTCGATGGGCTCTGAAACTGGACTGTTCAGCCGCGAGGAAATCTAGAGCAGAAGCGATCCACTGGAGGTGCCGGAGCGCCATAGCTTCGAACGTTGTCCCCGCGGCCGAAGTGAGCGAAACGGGTCGGTACGAGGAAGGCTTAGACTCTGGTTTCCCCTTCTTGTGGACGGGAATCACCAAGGCTTGCCCCCCAAGAGGATGGTAGCGCCCCCGTGCGCCAGATGGCGTTAAAGGCATCGCGTAGATGCCTTTAGCGTGCAAACGTGTGCCAACGTCATCTGGCGGTTTTCTCCCAAGACGTTACGCGCTAGCCGGCGCGTTCATTACACTTTCCTCTTCTAGGCACTGTAACAGAAGCGAGGAGATGACAGGAACGATGGGAAGAGAAAAAATACGAAGATCAGGAGGGAAAGAGAGGAAAAGGCAGCTGCTGATTTCCCCTGGGTGGGTCAGCCCAGGGGTGCCGTCAACGTGAAGCCAGGGCCAAAGGGTTGTGTTTCCTCAGCTGGGGGGCCTTAAAGGTCCAATCACCCGGCGTCGGCTCCACCCCCCGCCCCGCATCTCCTTTTCCCCGGACACGGCTCAGCCAAGCACGGCTTGGCTAGGAGGAGGTCGAGACCCTGCCGTTAGCTCGGGTCCGTGGTGTCGCTACACACCAAACGCCTGCTTATGCAGATGCCCCTGCAGGGATGCACGTTCTCAAAGTGTGGTTTCGCCGGTCATGTCAGCGCGAGCGTAACTGTTTCTACGTATGCCTGAAACTACGTACGAAAGCGTTTGGTCTTGCTCAGCTGCTAATGCATTGTAATAAAATTGACGAGTGCAACTTTCGGGAGTGTTGTTTATTTTCATGCTACCTTCCATTCATCAGAACGATTTCAAAGTGGGTTCCGCTTTCTGTTTCAAGCACACCAAAAAATGCTCTTGGCATGCTCCTAAGCATGAGGACTAATAAATGGTGTGTGAATGCAGCACTTTATAGCGACTCAGTAGTAAAAACAAAAAAAAAAACAAACAAAAAACAGGTCATAGGCCATGCACTTGCGCGCTGGTGATGAGTCTAAATATACGGCACTGTATAGTTTATGGATCATGCGAGGAGCCTTTGTTGTGTTTAGTTGGCCGTGGTACCACTACATAGAAATATTACTATCACATAAACTGTGAGACTTTGGCGCTAAAACAGCACCTAAAACAGAGTTAGCTTGTGCAACCG